TTCTGGGGGACACCCTGTATTTAGAACATCTTTTTATGTCATTAAATATCCCTTCATCCCTCCTTGGTATTTTTATTGTATGGCTGTACCATGGTTATTACCTTTGAAAAATTACTATTACAGCAATATGTGGTGAATGTCTTAGCTAAATTTTTTATACATTCCTTGACATTTCATTTGAGTAACTGTTCTAGAAATATAATTTCTGAATCAAAAGGTGAAACATGTTCTTTCACTGTTCATGAGAGAGCCCAATATTCCCATTCTTACCTTCACTGAGTACATTTTACAAATCCTCAATTGCATAGGTAGGGAAAACCATCTCATCATTTTAATTTGCATTTCTTTGATAACTGTCAAGGTTGAACATTTCCTTACATGTTATTTACTGATCATATTTCTTCCTTTTTATTGGTTTTATCTTTCTGTTCTTTGCCTATTTTCTGTCAGAATAATAATCTTTATCTTATTAATTGTAAGAACTCTTACTAAATTAGCTCAGTTAACTCTCTGTATTATATGTGGTAAATATTGTCCTGGTTTTGTCTTTGAGGATAGTTCAGAATGTCTTTTGATGAAAAGGAATTTTCAGGTTTTACATACATTTTCTTCCTTTATAATTTTTGCCACCAGAAATTAAGAAGGCCTTCTTTACTCCAAGGTCATTTAATACTTATTGTATTTTCTTTCCTGTCATAGTTTTTGGAGTGTGATATTTCTTCAAAGTCTGCCACAAGGGGGATTTGGCTGTGGCTTTTAGAAAAACAACAGTACAGCCTCACTAAATGCAGACTGGTCATTTGGTAAAACTACTAAGAGTATCCTCGGAAGAGGAAGAGAGAGATCTTATATGTTTATTCTTCACCAATTACTTATACTGCATCCAGTAGCTTTGTTAACCAACTCTTTCAGTGAAAGAAGTTTAAAATTGTCGGGGGGCGAGGGGGAGTTAACATAAGGTTTATGTTTTCATATTAAACCTCTTGGATTTGGTGACTCTCCTCACCTGGCCAGAACAGAAGCTTCCAATGGCAAAGACCTTTGTTTTGTTCACATGGTACACAGCATGCACTCGATAGATATGTGTTGGAGGAGCTGATATTTAGTCAAGTGGAGTTGTGTGCAGGCTATGTGTTGGGCAGGAGAGCCAGGGTAATGAGTTCTGGGCTTCACTGCCTTACATTAAAGAGGTGCAAAGTTTTAAAACTCACACACACACACACACACACACACACACACACACACACACACAACCTCCAAATGGAGGCAGTCAGTAAATTTCAGTTTTACTTTTTAGTTGACTGTAGAGATATTGATCTGAGTGTAAAGGTGAAAGTGCCTCAAACCTGGCACAGTAGGATATGGTGTCGAATACTGGAAACTATTCAGAGAAGAAAATTCTGTTGGGCAGATTTTAAGCAAAAACAGTGGCATCCACCCATCAAGAGAAATAAGAGACACCACTCTACTCCACTTCATGCTATGGCATTTGTCCAAAGCAATAACAATCAGATCTGGCTCTATTTGAACATAACAAGGAAGAAACAGTTTTCAGGAAGATTCATTTTCACTGTGGGAAGAGGAAGAGAAGCATTCTGTGTAATAACAGAAAAATCAATTATTTTTCAATCAGATGAAGTGTCCTCATAAATTCAAGACAGAGAACGCCATGTGATATGCCTTCATGGAAACGAGGACCACAAGGGAAAGAGTTTAGGATCCTACTTCGAAGGTTGCTGTTAGGAAGAGAGATTTTCCAAGAGTGGAACTCTGTCCCTGTTTGTGTGGGTTTGTTAGCCGACATCGTGGTATGTAATGAATGCACCTCATCCTGCCCAATTTGCCTCTCCCAAACCCCATCTTGTCCAACCTGCCTCCCGGTTGGCCATGACTTTTTAAATAACACACTAAAATCCTCTCTTTAAAGCATAATAACAAACAAACCCCAAACAATCCTTCTTACTAGCAAAAATTCACAATATATTACATGTGTAATGTAATATATTTATACATATTAACAAGGGAATGGCCAAGAAAGTAGAAAGATGAAGACTTTTGACAAAATTTAAAGTTACATCCTAATGAGAAAGTTTTTAATCAATATGAAGATTGGAAAGTCAGCTCCTGAAAAAAGATCTAAGGAGAGTATGGAAGTTGGAAAGATGATCTTCAAGTCAGTATAAGGGCCAGGGAGAATGAGCACCCAGGAAAAATTTGTACACCACAATTTCTTCCACAACCCTTAAAGTCTGTTTACAGTATTAAAAAGGTGAATAACTAGGAAGGCATCTACTCTGTATAAACCTTATGTGCTGGAAATCAAACTGACATGCCCCGTGTACACTGGCCTTAGGGAATGACACAAGATTCCTGAGAAGCACTGCGCCAAGGGGATGCCCTCACTCTGTTCTCTGCCAGCACACAGGCACCAGCATGCCGGTGTCTGAGGGCCGAAGCTGCAGCCCTTCCAGGTGTGTTCTCACGCCCTGGCAAAGACAGAAGTTCAAGGGCAGCAGTTCACTGACTGTCAGGTTAGCCCTTTAAAGGAGTCAAACTGCCAACCCCTTGTGCCATGGGGGCCATGTGTGTGTTTTTTAGAGGTGTCGTCTCTGATTGACTCCAAAGGGAGCTGTTAATGCCTGGGATCCAAGGTGCCCTGGCACTTTCACAGAAATCACACTGAATCCCAGAACGCTGCGACCATCCCCCCATCCCGACACCTCCCAAACTGAAGTGTCCCATCAGCTAGCTGGGACTTGGGAAGGAAGGAGAGTTATTACAGTGTACCTCCAGGGAAGTGGAAAGTGCACAATTCGAAGGTCTCTAACTTTCTAGGAACAAATCGCCCTAGAAAAATCAATCATTCCCACAAAAATATTTCCTACATTCTAACTTACATACTCTAATTGATGAGATGATTCTCTAGTTTTATTTGTGCCAAGAAGATCTGTTTCCTTCCCTAGTCTTTGTTGAATGCCAAGAAAATCATAAGGAAAAATGCTGACCTGTGATGGGTACACATCATACTTAATCACCACTTTAAGTTAAAATACTGTAATATAAAATAACGTACTCGCTGGGCCACTTGGGCAGAACATAACTTCCCAAGCCACAGACACACCTACTGAGACACTTGAAATGGCTAAGGAGTCTGGTTCCCAGCTGTGTGGCAAGAGCCAAACCATGACATCAAGTCTTGAGTTGCCCTGGAGAAATGTAGGGCAGGGCTGTCATACTACATCGTGCTTGCTAATCGGAGCCTTCCCAAGCGTTGTCTTAGTTTCTCAGTACACCAAACTCTAGCAGAAGTCGTGGTTTGCAATTGCCACAATGATGAAACTCCTCTCATTCAAAACCTCCAATCATGATCTTCCAGTATTCCAACAGCTCACTTCTCAAAGGCTGCTTAAAGTAAGTATTGAAGCCAGTGTGTGTGTGTGTGTGTGTGTGTGTGTGTGTGTGAGCACAAGGTTTCCTTCTCTTTGGCTTGGCTCAGTTAAATGGAAACTTCTGGAAAAATAATTGTTTATTTTTTCCTGGTCTCTTCAGATGGGGTAAAGCAGCAGACACTGAGTAGGCCAAACAAATGGCTATGAGAAAAATTTCCCCTGGAAAGGGGTACTTAGTAAAAGAATCTCAATAAGGTAAATACGCTTTCTAAAAGCCTAGGGATTCCATAATACCTTTCTAAGAGCAAATCATGTAAAAGCACTGTCCAACTCTCACAACCCAGAGATAAGGTGATAAGGTAGCTCTTTTGCAGGCCTCCGAAATGTCTCTCCCTGATTTAAATCCTTCACTCGCTCTCAGAATGGAACCCCTCCCTCCTTCTCCAGCTCCTATCTGCCATCTTCCACCAGTGCGGTAGTTCTGAACCAGGGCTGTTTTTGTCCCCGCAAGGGGGACACTTTTGGTTATCACAACTGATGTGAGGAGAGGGGGATGCTACTAAACGTACTCCCGTGCAGAACACAGCCTCTCAGACACGGAGAATTACCTGGTCCTAATGTCTGCAGTGTTGAGGCTGAGACGTTCTGCCCCAGTTGTTCTGCCCTCTTTGTTGTTTTCTAAACACGCCAGACTTTCTCATATGCTTCTGACCCTAAACAGGTTGTTTCCTTTACCTGCCCTACTTCTAAGTCCAAAGAAATGACCATTTATCATCCAGGATCCAATTCAAAATGTCACCTCCTCTATACTGTCCTTTCCAGGTCCTCAAGAATCAGATGTTCCTTATTCTGCACCTCCAGAGCTTCTGGTACATGCTGCATTAGAACACCAGCCACTCTGCCCCCAAATGACCTGTCACCTGCTGAAGGCCCCATTCAGCGTTCGCCTCCAGAGTGCCCACCTGGTACTCAATCACTGCTTGCCGAACCAATCAGGGAATTAATGGAAATGTTGCAGAGGCACCGAAGAGTCTTTAGCAACAATGACTAAGGGATAACAGTGTCCCCAATATAAAAAAAAAACCCCAGCAAATATTTAATCAAATGCTTGCAATGTGGACAGGCACATATATTAAGCACTGGTGCACATATGAACTCATTTCATACATACAACAGGGAGGTAGGAGCCATTATCATCAATATTTTGCAAATGGGGAAACTGAGGCACAGAGACCCATAACACTTGTCCAAGGTCACTGAAGCTAGCATCTGAAAGAGCTGATCTTTAAACACAGGTAGTTTCATTCCAGAGTCTTAATCTTCCAATATTCATGTCAAGACAGTAATACTAATAACCAATATTTTGCAACTTAGAGGCCACAGGCAAACACAAGTGACACCTTCAGAGGACTGTACCACCATAGAGTGGCCACCAGCTCCTATGACCCTGGACTGTACGCATTGCTTTCTCAGGTCACACACTCTCCAAACTCTGGAATGCTTTGGGCAAGAGAAGTATCTCCTCACAACATAGAAAGACACCATGTATCCAGAAAACATCATGGTACCACAAAGAAGACACAAGTGATGATTCCTCAAAGAACATCTTACCTTGTTCATGCTGCAGGGCCTGAAGTGAGGGATCGGGCATGTCACAATGCGAGGCTGTCCCTGAAGATTCTCCTTGTTCCCGTAGAGCTCCCTTCCTGAAGCAGGCAGCTGCACTGCGAACACAGACAAAGGAGATCCATAAGCTGGTGCCCAGAAAGGCACAGAGCAGTTCTGTGTCCAGTGAGACTTTCTGCCGTGATGGCAATGCTCCATGACCACTATGGCCACAGGTGGCTACCGAGCACTGGAAATGTGGCTAGTGCACAGGGGAACGGAATCAATTCTACGGAATCTTAATGAAATTTAAAGGTAAACAGCCACATGCAGTTAGTGGCTACCATATTGGATGGTGCAGGTCTACAGAGTCAAATCAAGAGCCTTAAGGCCACGGATACTGAGCATACCAGTGGCCAAGGAAAAGCTGCATATTATATGCACAGAGAGACTGCAGATACACAGAGACAAGAACATTCACTCATTCAATAACTTTTTTCTGAGTACTTATTAGGTGTGGGCACTGCCAGAGAAGTCAGCGATTTAAGAGTTTGTAGTTCAGGCTTTGACTTTCTTAGGAAGGGAAAGGATCTAGTATATGAGCAGCACCTACTGTGTACCTTGAGCTCAATGGCTTCCCTGCTGCCCACAAAACCTAAAGGAACGGCCAGGTATTTGCTGGAGCCTGACTGTATCGTTGCCAGGATGAACAGATAACAGAATCTACCACAGAGCTCCTTGGGAGGCAGCATCCCATCAGGCAAATCAGGGGGGCAGTTTTCCAAGGGCCAAGTGAACCAGACGATCCAGTTCCCCCTCAAATGGAATAAGGGTCCACGTTTTTATCCATGCTGTTGGTTCATTAGGTAGGTTTTTTAATTTACTTGAATTAAATTTTAGGGTAAAACAGTTATTGTATGTGTTAGGGTCACCGAAGGAGGAACGCACGAGGCCAAAGTGGTAGAGAAATTCTCTGGGTGGGTCCTGAGGGAAAGATAATGGTCTTAGCAAGTGGAATGTGGTCTAAGCCAAAGGGCATGTTGGGTGAAGTGGTCTAAAGGTCAGTTTCCAGGAGAGGGGCAATTTATTCAATTATTTGATCAGACCTGACAGTATGATTCCAGGGTTCTTAATTTGTCAAACATTAAGGAAAATAATTAATACAATAATAAATAAAATATCTTTGACTACGTAACTAGACTTGTAGCCAATTTTGTTGAAAAATATTTTATGGTTGGATTTGAGAGGAGAATATAACACTATAAGGTTTCTTATAATCACCTTATTACTGTTATTTTTTTTAAGACTGCATCTATCTGAACCTTTCCATAAACACTGGAATTGGAGGTTTGAATGGAACTACAGTGCTTTAAAAAATCTATTCTTTTTAATTATAATATAATAACAATATTGAAAATGTTCAATAGGAAAAGGACAAAAGACTCATAATCCCACTGGCTCACCATAATCACCTCTAGTTTTTAGCAATCATCCTTGCTCTGTTGGAGAACGGTTTGAGGCCCGTGCATATCTGCTAACGGAGTCAAGGACACAGAGAGGTCAAAGATATTAATATCTTTCATCATTAAGAAAATAATTTTGCAGTTTAGATTTTCAAAAGATAAACTTCTACTCTGCACATTACTATTCTGTGAGCATATTATTATTGAATTCCTTTTATAAATAAGACAGGGACAGAAAATTGCAGGTCACTCCCTGGCTATTTGAGACACATAGAATCCAAAGAAAATACCCCATTCAGTCATAGCAATAACATTTTTTAACAATGATGTACAACATGGGAGAGACCCTGGAATTTCACTTTGTAGCTTAAATACAACTAAACACCCCTTTATGCAAATGATGCCATTGTTTCAAAATCAAGAAAATTCAATATCTAATTCTAACCAAACTTAAATTGACTGACAAAATAGCATGCTTTTACTCTTAATTTTCCAGAAGCAGATGCTAATGAATTTCTGCATTTTAAAGTAGAACTTCATAAATGTTGTTTCCTTTTAAATATATGTATTTGATTCACTTAAAAGCTATGGCCCAGCAAGTAACTGGGAAGTTTGTCCAAAAGCCTTGTAGAGATGCCTGATGTCAGAATTCCATTCAAATGTACACATTGGTATCAACACAGGAAAGGTGGGCACACGAAGATAATAATAAACAGACAAGAATTCTTGGTATAACTCCCCCAAGGAAATTCCACCCAGCTCCAGTGATGCCACAATCCCCATGCCCTCAGAACATGGGTATATAGATTGCACTAAACTAATTATGGATCCTTCTCCTTGCCCCTCCACACCACACCAAGTGTTCTTAGGTCATTTTCATGTTTGTTGGTCCTATGTCAAAGTCAAGACTAAAAAACTCAGACTAATATTGAGGGCAATATTAGGTCACATAAATTTCTCAATAAATATTATGAATAGATTTTTTTCTTTGCTCTCACAGAGCCTAAGATGATGTAGATGCTTCATGTAGGTCTTCAAAACAATGTTGATTATCAGATTGCCTTCCGGTTTCTTTTTAAAGGCAAATCTTTTAATGTCCAGGATGGTAAAATTTTTAAGGATATTAAGAATATCTTACAGCTGTACAGTGCTCGAAATTGTATAATGCACTTTATCAATTAGTACTGATATCAATCTGAGTGGTAGTTTTCTTAATTAAGAAGCTAGATACATGGAGGGGAGCAAAAAGGGAGAAAATGAGATACATCTGTAATACTGTCAACAATAAAATTAAAAATAGGGACAATAAGCTAGTTTTAGAATAACAAACTTTTGTTTCCGCATACAAACTTATATCTCATAGATCAGTTTTCATGCCTTTTTTAATACACAGTAACTTTTCTTTTCAATTCTACATTAAAGTGTAATTTTTTTGATGTTACTTTAAGTTATTCTAAGGGACTCAAATTTAAATATAAATGTTTATGGTACTCTGCAAATAACCAAAGTGACAATCAGATGATAGAAATTTCTGTACAGGGCTAAATTTCTATGTACATATAAAATGGTAACCATGTAAAAGTTTCTTTTGATGCATAATTCTTATGGGCAGTAGGCAATTTCAGTCATTAAAATGTAAAAAGGGGGGGAAAATCCTGCAAAGATACAAAAAAAAGGAGCTAGATACAGAGAGGAAAAAGAATTCTTAGTTATGCTGGAATAGACACTGGGCTAGAAATGACTTCAAGATACTATAGAATTAAAATATGTACAAAGGCTACACATAAAAAACCTTTCCCAATCTCTCTCTCTCTCTCTCTCTCTCTCTCTCTCTCTCTCTCTCTCTCTCTCACACACACACACACACACACACTCAAAGACAACCATTAACAGAAACACCTCAGTGAACAGATGACAGTTTTAGAAAATGGGTCAGTTCGCTTCTGGACAGCAACCTAAAAGACTGGCCTTGTTCGACCAAGTACTTTCAATCTCCTTTGAAACAGACAGAACCTGGTTGTTTTGCAGCCAATTCAGTTTATGAAGAAGCTTCCGGAAATCCACAGCTTAAAAAAGTAGACTGGGGGGGGGGGGGGAATAGGAGCAGGCGGGGAGAGGTCAATGGGGGGGAAAGGAGACATAAGTTTATACTTTCAACAATAAAGAATTTAAATTAAAAACAATAACAATATAGCGCGCACACACACACACACACACACACACACACACAAAGGGAAACTGCATCTTAAAAATAAAGCATTAAGGAAAAAGATATCTGAGTTACCATGATGTAATTAAGGAAGCTTTTCTTATTATTCTGTTTTTCAGTGTTTCTTTTTAATCGTCTATGAAGTTGAATTCTTCTGATACTAAACAAAAACACAAGAAGTACTGACACCTTTAAAGGGTGTCTGGAGAAAGTCAACCCACACAAGCTAACATGTGACTTCCACTCAGTTGGTCCTAGCAGATTTGGTTCAATGGGCAATGAAGCCTGTGGTCAAATCAACCTTACACTTCTAAAAGATTAATGAAATGTAATTCGTGTTTCCCGGTGGGTAGAAGCAGGAAGGTGGAGACAGGGTAAGTGTAAGAAGAGACCATCAAGAGAATGAAAAGAAAAGATGAAGGCTACAAAGAAAGGAGAAAACTAAAGGGCAGGTAAGTAAACAGATACCTAGAGACAGTTCAGTGCTGTGGCCAAGTGCCCCTCAGCCGCAAGGTCCTCACTATGGAAGGGATCGAGAGATTCGGGCTCCTGGTGACAACACCACATCCTATGGCTTCTCTCTATTATACACTTCCATGGACCGGGTGTCAGCAAGTGGGAGCTGGAGTAAAGTTAAGACTGGGCCTACCTGTTTCACCACTATTTATTTACCACCAACCTCCACCTACCACAGAGAAGTCTATTTTACCTGGATCACTGCTAATGTGGTACAGAGGTATAAGCCAACTTTATTCTCCTCCCTCTAACAAGAAGCTTAAAGCTGTCACAGAGCTGTTATATTTGTGTGTGTGGATTGTATTATTTCTTGGCCCTTGAAAATGCAACTAATACCTATTGCCAATATAAAATGAAATATAAGGAGTTGGGCTTTTTCCCCACTCCAAATCCCTCATCCCCTTCCAAGATGTTCATTCTAGAAGTCTGTTGTAATACAATTCAGAGTAGGTAGCTTAGGCAGTCCTATGGGGAAAAAGCCAACAAGAGTGGGCAGGTCACTCCTCACAGTGTTAAAGGTCTTGCTGGCTTTTAGATATAATGCATCCTGAGGTCACTCCCCTTCCCACCACCAAATCCAGCAGCCTAAGCAGAGGACTCAAGAGTTTGTGGAGAAAAAATAAAGTTATAAAAAGACAAAAAGGCTTTGAAGAGAAAGGGAGAGAAGGCAAGATGACAAGAGTTTAGAAGAAATTCTCCAAATCAAGGACTTAGGAGCTTAGAAAATCAGATGAACAGATGAAAGAACCCTAATGTCCTCCACCCTGTTTTCATGGGTTGGAGTAATTCATGTGTCTCTGAAGTACTGACAACCTTCACCTGGAATCCTTGTGCAAGACCAGATAAATGTAAGACTATTTAATTACTGACAGGCCAATCCCTCCCTTCCACAATAAGGGGCATGCTGCTCCTTATTAAATGATCCTGTCCC